CTCTGGCGGCCAGGTGCCGCGGCGACCGAACATGAGCGCTGTCGAACGCGCCCGCCTCTCCCCGAAGACAGCCCGCCTGGGAAGGCGCCACCATTTCCTCCTCCGTGACCAGTGCCTGCCGTGGAGGAGCCGCCCAAGTTCAGTCGCCTTGACAGATTTAGAGTTGCCCTTCCCTCTCTGGCTCCGACACGCGGTGGCGATAGGGAGGGAGGCTGGAGCCCCTGCCACGGCTAGTGAGGAGCTCGTCGTTGTCGCCCTGGAGGAAGGCTCCGTACATCCCAAGCCCCGGGAACCCCTCCGCTGCCGGCGCTTGTGAGTTGAGGTCGAAGCCAGCGCCGGCAGAGGGAGCGGTGGCGGGGCCGCTCGCCGACAGCTGCGTAGCCCACACGTTGAGGTCGTCGAAGCCGTCACCGTCCATGCGTGGCCGGCGGCGCAGATCGGTGGAGGCGGCGACGCGGATGGTCGGAGGAGGCGCGGCTTGGGGGTGGCGGCGGCGCTGAGGTTGCTCAGTGGCGCAGATCGGTGGAGGCGGCGGCGCGGTTGGACGGAGGAGGTGCGGCTCGGGGGTGGCGGCGGCGCTGAAGTTGCCCGACGGCGCAGATCGGTGGAGGCGGCGGCGCGGTTGGACGGAGGAGGCGCGGCTCGGGGCTGGCGGCGGCGCTGAGGTTGGCTGGCTGCGCGGAACGGTGGAGGCGGCGGCGTGGTTGGACGGAGGCGGTGCGGCTCGGGGCTGGCGGTGGCGCTGAGGTTGGCCGGCGGAGCGGAACGGTGGAGGCGGCGGCGCGGTTGGACGGAGGCCGCGGTGCAGGTAGTTGGGGAGGCCGCGCCGCGCGGATCGGCAGCGGAGGCGCGGATCAGTGGTGGTGGCGGCGTGGATCGGGGAGGAGGCGACGACCAGCGGAGGAAAAAATTGCTCTACAGTACGGCGACCGTGCGGGATTGGGAGGAGATGGGGATCCGATGCGGGGAGAGAGAGAGAGAGAAAAGTGGCTTCTACAGTGGGCCCCACTCAAACTAGCTCCAATAAGCATCTCTTGGAGGGGCTAGTTTTTTTGTGGGTTAGATGCGACTAGCCCCAATCTAACCCCTCATGTTTGGATCCTTTAGGGCTATTTGAGCCCCAACTAGCTCAAACTAACTCTAACCCTTGGATCCAAACAGGGCCATCACATCACATCCAAAACTTTCCTACACACATAAACTTCTAACTTTTTTTCTAAACTTCCAACCTTTCCCAAACTTCCAACTTTTTTCAGGAACTAAACATACAGTATGTGTGTAGAAAAATTTTAGATGTGATGGAAAGTTGGAAGTTTGGGGTAGTTGGGGGTGAACTAAGGGTGTATTTAGTTTCTGAAAAAAGTTGGAAGTTTGAAGAAAGTTGAGAGTTTGGAAAAAAGTTGAAAGTTTATGTGTAGAAAAGTTTTTGATGTGATGTGATTTGATGGAAAGTTGGGAATAGGGGGAACTAAACACGGTCTAAACACGGCCGTAGCCTAAAAATGATTTGAAATCTATCATCTATGTGTGGAATAATCCGTCATAAATTCAGATTTCATCTCAGCTATGTTAGAAAGCTTTGAATTAGCCGTGACAGCTCAAACAAGATCACTTTGGATAAACAACAGCAAAGACGAGTAGAGTGGACCAGCACCCAGCACCTCGCCGTACGAGCGAATGAGCGATCGATAGATACTCTCACTCACCTTTTAGGGGTTCCTTTCCAGTAGAAGTGGTTATCCCAGGCTCTCGTGCACCATCGTCTTTGGACAGATAACAAACAGCTCTCTCTACATAATACTGCTACTAGTAGTAACAGGAGCGACGTGAACGTGAAATCGAGAGACGTAGAGGACGCACACGCAAAAACGCCACGCCTGGAAAGCCCAAAAGAAAGAAGAAAAAACAAAGGAAAGGGGAAGGCAGAGTTATGTTTCCCATGTGCGTCACAGCCTCGGTGGCCTCGCCCGTCTCCGTCCCCTGAACCAACGGAGCCGGCGGCGGCTCATGCTGCTGATGTTGGCAGCCACAGATAAAGCAAAGCTGCCGCGTGAGATGGATCCAATTCCAATCCAACCATCCTCTTTGCTGCAGTGTGCTGGACCAGGCCGCGCCCGTCGTGTCCCAAACAGAAAGATCCCCGACCTGGTCAGTGTCGGACGTTGACAAGGTCAAACCACATCGCATATTGGAGTTGAAATACTATTTCCGTGCTCTTTCTTCTCGTATCGGCGTTGACAAATTTGGTCCCGGTTAGATCCTCTGGTAAAATTTTACACCCTATCACATCGAATGTTTAGTCATATGTATGGAGTATTAAATATAAATAGAAAATATGTAGATTACGTGTAAATTGCGAGATAAATCTTTTAAGACTAATTGCGCCATGATTTGATAATATGATGTTACAGTAAACATTTGCTAATGACAGATTAATTATGCTTAATAAATTCGTCTTACGGTTTTCATGTATCCGATGTGATATCAAACTTTACACCTTAGATCTAAACATAGCCAAAAGAATGGAATCAGGAATGGCAAGCACAGGACTGACGTGGGGGTTTCTCCCTCCCCTCGTGCATCTCGGAGTGAACCGGGGTACATCTTCGATCACTGGCTGACGCGCTGAGCAATCACTAGTACTCCTACAGTCCTACTACTACTACAGAGCAGAGCGAGAGACGGGAGGCAAGGAGGCCTCACGCTACCCTGCAGAATGTTGTGAGAACGACGTGGCTTAAACCGTGCATCACTTTCCATTCCCTACCCCGAGAACCAACATGCGTTTTAATTGCCGATCTTATCTTTTCACTTCGCTTATACGTAAACCTATCAGTCAAAATTTAAATTTTTAACTTTAAATTTAAAGTTGATTTTAGGTTTTTTTTATTTTAGTTTATTTTTTAGTCTTTCTTTCTTTTAGACTGTTAAGACATGTATATAAAAGTTTTTTTCGTAAATTATTTTTCATTTGTAAAAATGATGTTTGTCTTATTTCCACAAATAAGACAAAAGGCCGGCACTTACAGTTTTTTCAGATATACATCGCGTTATTTCAACTCCACTGGGCCCAAGCCGCACACCGCCAGCTTTCATTTGGCAAATTGTGAGGGTCTACTTAGCAATCTTAACTTTAGAAATGAAGTGTAGAATACAGTTTGCGAGCGACTGGACCCCACTCGTTTTAGTTTATTTTTTAAAGCACTTTAACTCACTCCACTCTTTTCTAATAGGAGTAAGAGTTGTGATTATTTGGTTAGACTTCAGCCAAAAAAAAAATTGTTAGAGCTAGAGCCTGAAACTGGAGCCTTACCGAACAATCCATTACTATTCACTACCACCTTTATCCCAAGCAAATGCATTGTAACGGAGATACTAATACTACTACGTCTGCATATGCGGTATGCCCAACAGCAACCTCAAAACTAATAGTAACTTGTTTGTTTTTGTTTTAGGTGAAATATTAAATGTGTAATTATAGGTGAGGGTGTATGTATTGTGAGCGTGTACAAGTTTGTACTGTTTTCTTAAAAAGAATAATTAGCGTAATAGTACTTGTAGTTCATTACGGTGGTTATGAAAATAATACATCGCATCATCGTATATATGCTCTCTTTTCAATAATCTATAAATGTCATTATTTTTCTACCGGGGACTCCTTTTAGTGCATACTCATTTCTTAATTAGTATTCCTGGAATAAACTCATGAAACACGTGTACTTTAACCCTTTTTAGAGCGAGGCTAATAATACAACCGACTTGTTAGCTATAAGGTTATTTATAGTTTTCTTTCAGCCTGTCTATAAAATAGTTAGCTCTTTATAATTAATATAGAACACACTTGTATCTCTCACAGGGTTTATTGGTTCTTGTGTCTAAGCTGGCTGTAAGTTTACAGTCCGCTTCTCCTCTCTCTTTTCTTCTCCACCTCAGCATTTAGTCGGCTTATAGTCTACTATTATACTTGCTTTTATACCATGCATGAAATTAACCCGTTACCTAGCTGTAAAATAAAATAAACAATGAAATTAACGACTGTTCTTATGGTTTGTTGTTGGCAGGCGGCTGCAAGTGTTCTTCATACTCTGAAAGCCGTGGGCTGAGGAAGTGGTGGTAGCTGACCTGCATGAAGCAAAAAAGTGGTGTCTGACCAGGAAATCACGAATTTGTCAACATGGCCAATCAAGCAATATTCAGCCATGCTGAATACATTAAGAGACCACTTGGAAATCTCTAAAATACGGCTTGACCTGTTAATTCGATCTGTGCTTTGCTCCAGGCCGCAAAATATGAGTTGTTGTAACGAACTGGAATCAGCTAGAATGACAATATAGCACTCAACACACGCAACAAAATTTCACAGGCTGTCTGTTCGTAGGGATGTACTCGTTCATGGGAAAAAAAACCATACCGAAGCCTATAGCAGGCTATATTGCGTCAGGACTAGGGTTTACAATATCAACAATAAATAGAAAAATACGTATGTTTTTTAAAATACTAAACGATGCGTTTTCTAAAAAAAGACTATAGGAAAGTTGCTTTTAAAAAATATATTATTCTATTTCTCAAATTTAAAATGATTAATACTAGGGCAGCGCTCAATAATTCAACACCTACTAGAGTTTAAATACTGGTGCCCACGAATATTACATACATATAGATAAATTTTTAATATGACTTCAGTGGGATCAGGGATGTACCGCTGGTTTTTATTTCTTAGAGCATGTGCTATAGGATGAATTCGCGGAAATGTGAGTGTGATATTGTATGTGCAGTGGTGCATGTTCGTCTATCGTGTAACTTTTTTGTTTTTCAATTTCGTAGCCGTTATCGGTGCCTAAACGGAACCTCGAGATCCGGATTCGAGTCGAGTCCCCCGTCCGGCCGCGAAACCGAGCCTTCTGACCACCGCCGAAACCAAATCGGGCCCGGACGCGCCGCGTCGTGTTGGGCCTAGACACTTCCTGCCAAGTCTACTAATAGTCCTCGTAGGACCAACCACTAACACCGTCCTGATTCGTCAAAGGGTTTAAGCATCTCGTCTCGTCGCCGAAACTCCGATCTCTCCGCACCCCCCAAAAACCCTAACCCGCCATGGCAACCGCCGCCGCCTCCTCCTCAGCTCCTCCTCCTCCTCCCCAACCCGCGGAACCCGCCGCCGATCCACCGGCCAAGGAAGAGCCCCAGAACACCACGGCGGATGCGGCGGCGCCCGTCAGCGACGCGGGGGCGGCGGTGGCGGCGGAGGAGGGGGAGACGGTGATCCTGGACGCCGCCGCCGGGGAGGGGGATGCGGAGGGGGAGGAGGAAGGGGAGTGCGGGTTCTGCCTCTTCATGAAGGGCGGCGGGTGCAGGGAGGAGTTTGTCGGGTGGGAGAAGTGCGTGGAGGACGCGGAGAAGGCCGGCGACGACGTCGTCGAGCGCTGCTACGAGGTCACCGCCGCGCTCCACAAGTGCATGGAGGCCCACGCCGAGTACTACCACCCCATCCTCAGCGCCGAGCGCGCCATGGCCGCCGACCTCGAGGCCGCCAAGGCAGACCAGGCCGCCGAGGCCTCCTCCGACGCCGCCGCCTCCTCCTCGCAGCAGCAGCAGCCGCCGCCAACGGAGGAAGAAGCTGCCGGCGAGAAGAAGCAGGCGGAGGAGGAAGCGGTGGTCCCGGAGAAGCAAGATGTCGCGGCCTGATTGGTCAAAACGGTGGGGATCTTGAGAAGAAATTTTTTTTGAGGGATCGATCTGAGGCGTTTCAGATTGTGAATTCTTTTCTCTTTTTTTTTCAAGGATTAATTAGTTAAACTTTGATCCATGAGACGGATGGAGAGGGGGATGGATCTCTCCAAGAAAATGTCAAATTCATTTTTGGGTGGAAACTATACACGAGTTCTGAATTATACGGAGATCTCATGCTCTAATAATGTGATGTTTTGATTAGATTAACTGACATGGATTATTAATAGCTTTTTCTTGATTAGATTAACTGACATGGATTATTAATAGCTTTTTCAATAGATCATCCTATATATTTGCTCTCCATCCATGTGTCAATATGCTTGAGCTCCTGTGCTGATGTTGCGTACATTGCAATGCAGTTTCTGTTTAATTGACAAGCGATTGCGCTCCATCTGATTGTTACTTTGCTAACTTGTGTCTTGTGATAACTGATAGTGATATTTGATTCGCTACTACTCTCTAGCAAATTATCCGCGTTTTATATGAATTTCAGCAGGGCAGTGAATTGGATATATGGATTGCGTAAGTTTCAAGTGCATAACATTCTTGTTGCAATGCTAATTGCTAAACGTTGCTCCTTCAAAACTTTCAGATCAGTGGCATCGGAGTTCTTTTTATGGACCCAAACCCATACTTCAAACCTTCTATTAAGTAAAATTTGGTGCGGTTAATGTGATTTGCCATATTTTTTCTCCTTAATGGATTTGCTTTCATGCTTCAAACCTCAGTACTGCAGGCAATCCCCGCTGTTCGTTTTAGCCACTGCCTTCATGTGTCTGCAAACTGGAAAAATGATCTGCGTTAATTCAACAGACCACGTTGTGTATCGAACACTTTTAACAAAGGAAATAATATTGTCGTATAAATATCTTCCTCTATATTGTTGTACGAAATTATCTTCCTCTCATTCTTTTTTTTTTTGAGAGAAATCCTCTCATTGCAACTGATCGTAACAAACCTCTCAGTTCATAACCTAATAGAACATTCATAAGGTTTCATCCTTTCAGTCAAATGCTATGAAAGCTAGCATCGAAAAATAGCCACATTGCGTACCATTCCAAATTTCCAATACAGAATTACAGATGGCCATAACAAACAGCAGAAGATGAAACAAAATGGATAAAATGTAGTTTGACTTTCAACGACATCTTCAATTACCGTAAGCTAAAAAAGAGAATGAAGTCGCACAGAGTGCCGCAAAAAAACATTAACCTGTAACGGTAGCAAAATTGACGGCAGGTTTCTGGAACACCCGAACAACAGCAGATCCATCAGCGCCATCATTTCCAACCCTCCATGAACGATCCTTCTTCCTCTGGGGTTTCTTGTGATGCTTATAGGATGCCTCTTTCTTCTTCTTTGTAGAGTTCTTGGACACTTCACTGGCCAGGTCGAAAGATTCAAGGTCACTTAGTACATGACTAATGTTTGGATCAGCTTGACTGATTTCCTCATCTTGTTCATCAGAAGCACAATGATCTGCTGTGGCACCTACTGCAGTATCTGAGCCTTCAAGGTCAGTGGTTTCCTCTGGGTCAGTTTCAGAATCTGTATCACCAGGGGGAAGCTCAAAGTGTGGGATCTTTCCATCTAAGTAATCCTTCAGAATCTGTCTAGCAGCCCTAGTCTCATCAGGCAGCCCAGCATGACTGACATGCCCTCGAGATGTGCAGTACGCCCGCAGCAACTCAGCGGCAGTTGGTGGTCGGGACAGTTGTTCATATGCCTTGGGCTTTGGCAGGGTGATTTTATAAATCTGTTCTAGAACATTTCTTGGCACACGATTTGCCACCACTTGAATAGCGCCCCTATGCTTTGTCATCCTATCAATTGGCAAGACACCACAGGCTACCATCTCATGCCTTGAGCTTGAAAAGGAAGGGAAGACCAGACCTGGACAATCACAGAGAATGAGTTCTTCTGAGATTACCAATGTCTGAAAATGCTTGGTCTTGCCAGGTGTAGAGGTTACACCAGTTCTCTTCTGGCCTACCAAAGCATTGATGGTTGAACTCTTCCCAACATTTGGATAGCCTACAAATCCAACAACCACATGCTTGGGTCGTGTTGAGACAGAATCTGAACGACTAGATTCATGACCCTCTTCAGCTCTTAATGCTCCCTTTTGGTTCACAATATACTCAGCTTCACCCTGCAATCTCACCAAGAGTTCATCCCGGCCATATATCTTGGTGTCAAGATCTGCTGTATTCCAGTTTTCCATGGAATAGCTGCTCAACTTCTTTCCCTCTAAATCAGCAGTAGCAGCTTTGGCAGACCAGAACAGATAAAGGATATCGTGTTGCTTAAAGTATTCTGCCCATCTCTGTCTGCAATTTTTTTTTCAATGAGAAATTACTGTATGGATCATCGCAGACACTAAAGGCATTTAGAATATTGAAAAATGCGCTTGTGTGGTGTTACTAACCTGACATTCAGTGGTAAAAGATCAGCCTTGTTTACAAGAAGCAGTGTTCTCTTGTGCTCATCAATTTCCTGTGCGTATACCTTACAACATACATAAAGACATGTCAGAAGACAACACAAAACTGCAAAGATCCACACAATAGTGAAAGCTTACACAGTTATATCTCTTCTATGCTATTATTACAAATCATATTTATCACAAAGAGGGAACACCAGAAACTAATGAATTACACTAACCCTAGCACCACATGCTATCAGCACAGAAACACACGCAAGGAAGTATTTAAGCATTATGCTGTTGGCAGACAATAAAACAAAGAAATCAAACAGGACAACATCTGCGATATGAAGGTAAACTGAATTTACAGTTGTATCATCGCGCCCGTCAGGTTGTGCCTTTGTGATTTGCCAGTGCCTGAGCAACTTAAAATCTTAAACACTAACGTGTCTAGGAATGAATGCAACGAGATGTGGGACTACTGAATATGCTGTATATCCAATATCGTGGTTTTAATATTCAAGTGCCTGAAATTTTCATGGTAAATGGGCATTCAGCTAATGCTTCCAGATAACCATAGAATGTAATAAGGTTATAATCAGTAGTTGCAACTTGCAAGAGGCTGGATATGTAAATTACCAATCATCTAAAAGTTTATCTTAAACCCAAAAAGAGTAGTCAAAAGAAAAATACTGGAATCTTGGGAATAAGTACCTCAAGATCAGGGCAGCGGTAGAACAAGGGATCTCGAGCATCAACTACCATGACCAGCTTCAAGAAAGAAGGAAAACAGAAGTCAAGCACTTCCACATAATTTCCAGAACTGTCAGCTCATTCAAAGATAAGCAACATACAGTTGGACAGAAAATTAAAAGCTACTAGGATAATGAATAAAACAGACTATAATATAACTACAGGATACATTTGTTATGCTGTTAGCTGCTAAGCAACTCAGAAATTTCAAATAGGCCACAATTGAATAGGGAACAAGTTTTAATGTTGAAAAAAGATATATGATGAAATGTGGTAAAGTAGTAACGTGTCCATATTTGAACTGTAACATAGTCTTCTCATGCATACGCACTCACCAGATCACTGCGTTCAAGTACTCTCCAGAGCTGTCTCCAGATATCAATGTTCTTCTCAAAAGGGGTAAGGACAAGTTTTTCGTTCTCTTCCAATCTGCAGGAGAAAAAAAGAATCTTTTGGTATATAAAAATAAACAGAACGATAGGCAACATCATGCTTGACTTTGATGCACCAGAAGCTCACTGCGCACACATTCAAGATACGAGTTTCAACTTTTCTTAGTCCAAGAAGGAAAAAGGATATATTGTACACAATTAGATACAGGCCAACATTTCACTTGTTGCCAGTGTAATATCTAAATTAAAGAAGTAGAAAGGAATCCATCCCAAATTTTCATAACCAAGCATAAGTAGCTGTCCAAATATTATTTTTTTTGGCACATAAACACAACAAACATTGGAAGACATACAAGAATCAGCATAATAACCAATGAAACCTGACCAACCTTGCGAGGTTCCTCCGCCACTCCAGGAAGGCCCGCTTCTCGTTGGCGTCGAGCTCCTCCACCGTCATCTGGGGAGTCCATGGCGGTCTGAAATCGAGAACATCACATCCACCTATACATCACTGACCCAAAATTTAGAAGACGAGAAGAAAGAGAAGCGCTGTTGAGCACCCACCGGCGGGGCACCTTGAGGCTGCCCGCGTGAAGGGCCTCCTGCTCCTCCCGCAGCCACCGCCTCTCCTCCTCCGTCTCCACCGTCCCATCCCTGCATCGCAAAGGAGCGCCCGCGCCCGCGCCCGAATGAGCAACCCGCTTCAGAGACATTTCGTCGAACACTTAGGATACCCAACAAAAAAAGTTCGTTTAAGATGTTACAGATCGATAAGCCCGGAGCCGAGCGAGGCGGAGAGGGCGACGTCGCCGGCACCGTCGCCGCCACCACCACCGAGGAGGAGGTATTCCTCTGCGGCGCGCTGGAGCACGGCGTCGATGTCGCTGACCTCGATGACGGACTCGAGCGGCTGGCGCGCGCGGCGGGCGAGGGCGAGCGCGTGGCCCCTCTCCTTGGCCGCCGCCGCGGCCTTGTTCCGCTGCCGGGTCAGCGCGCGGCCGAGCCCCTCGCCGCGGTCCTTCCTCCCGCCGCCGCCGCCGCCGCCTCCCATCTCCACCTGCACGGCGTGGCGGCGAAGTAGGGAAGGAGAAGAAGAGAGAGACACAGAACTCTCGGCGGCGCGAATCGAAGGAAGGGTGGCGAACGAAGCGGAGGCGAGGCGACGAGACGAGGCGGTGGTTTTTGTGGGCCGAGTTGGCCTACGGCCCAGCCCAACTTCTATGGACACGAGTTTTGAATTTTTAAATTTATTTTTTTAATATTTACAAAAATATTATATCGGCGAAAAGATTTATAAAAATAGACCCTGCCGCCCTCCATTTGGGCGGCAAGCCGACGTGGCACACAGACGCATGACGGTCGTTTTGGGGGGCTGCGAATTTTGTGGCCCCCTTGCCGCCCACTGTCTGGGCGGCAAGGGGTCTACGTGCAAAATTCGCAAAAGCGGCAAGGGGCTAAGATGTAAAAAGAACTAGCAAATTGTTTTTTTTGGTAGGGCAAAAATTGCATTTAAGGGCGGCAAGGGGCTAAGCGCAAAATGCGCACACGGCGCTGTCACGATGTTGTGTGCCACGTCAGCTTGCCGCCCAAATGGAGGGCGGCAGGGTCTATTTTTGTACTCTTTCTGCTGATATAATATATCTGTAAATGTTAAAAAAGATAAATTTAAAAATGAAAAAAATTCCACAAGTTTTCATCTGCAAACTTTACCATTTTCATTTTTCCCATAAGAAATTTGTATATACTTAAAAATATTGTATTATCAACGTGTGTAGCATCCCAAACATAAACATCAAGTCTTTTTTTTCATCCTAGTTTAACCATTTAGAAATTATATTTAAAAATTTGAAACATAAATTTATTTTATTTTGCGGAGCAACTACTATAAAAAGTTTCTGTACGAAACAATTAGTAGTTTGAAATGTGTGCAAATGAAAATTGAGGAAGTAGCCAAGCTGATCCTCACTTTTAGAATACTGTGTATTATCAAAGTGTGTAGCATCCTAAATATAAACATGAAACTTGTCATCGTAGTTTAACCATATAAAAATTATTTACGGTCAAAATTAAACAAATGAATCGTACAAGTACTTTCAAACATAGGTTTATCATTGCATAAAACAATTTTGAATTCTCAAGATGTTCCATGTGTTTTGCGATGTAAAATTCTTTATACAAGTTAATGTCATGGCATGTATTGCCTTTTTTTTCTAGTTTTTGTTGTCTTGAAAAGTATCGAACATCTATATGTAACTAGGTGAAACCCCGCGCATTGTTGCGGGAATTTAGTATGATAATAATAAAAAAAATAACGTGTAAGATAGCTAGATAATATCAGATTAAGTAAATTAATATGGTTTATGATAATTTAAATTTAAATAGTATGTAGAATGGTGATTCAAACGTAAAAAGTAAGGTAGTATGACTTTTTGGAAGAAGAAAAGTAGGGAGATAATTTGGACCGTAGATTAATCATCTAAAGGCTAAAAATAATTGATGTGATATGACTTAATTAGAGGAAAAAAGGAAAAAGATAATTTGGACCATAGATTAATCATTTAAGCACTAACTAAGTAAGGATAAACTATATAAGTATATAGGATATCATAAAACATAATAAATATACATTTAAACATTATGTGAATTATGTTGGATGATAATTTAACATGTTTGTATTTGAAAAGCTCTTAAATTATAAAAACTATAAAGATATAGCATGTTTGCATGATGTTTAAATGTGATGATTGTTAGTGGATGATGATGTGGTATCTTTGTATGTTAAGCTTAAGGATTTAGTGGGGGTAACTTTATAGTAAGATAGGATGCACATTTGGGAGGCAGCAAGCCAGCAAAAGAGTATGTGATTTTTTTCTTAGTAAATTTCATAAAACTATATTCAACTTTCACACCATAGGAACTTTGGTACGTGGGCCGTAACCTCAAGCATTATGATCCGAGCGTTTCACAAAAGCATGTTATTAATCATCTTGACTTTAATCTGCCATACTTTTAACTTATACAATCGCACGTTTATGAACATTTTATCCACCATATAAATGTTAAATGTGCTTTGTTTATTTTGATATAGGTACATGTCAAAATGGTTAATTGTGTGATTTTGGGAAACTTTAGAAGTATAATACTTAGCTTTATGTGTTACATGCTAAAATAATTGTGGTTTGTGTAACTTAGACCTAATATGTGGGTTTAATAAAAAATACTCATTTTTTTTATAGGATCTAGCATTTTAACTGAAGTTTCAGCTAAAATTTTAGACCTACTCCCAAGAATAGCTCAAATGTTAATTTGAGCCTTTCACTTCCTAAAACTTTCATAGCGAATACCATGTCACCAAATCATATACACTCTACTAGCTCACTATTACCATAGCATAAACAAGGTCATAAATCATTCATCAACATTGATATCGACAGTCACAGTATCTCACTGGTCTCACACACCCAAACCAGACAAAACTCCAGCTTAATCACTCCAACAACAAGCAAGCAAGCAAGCACATAGTTTCACTCACAGCTGTTGCAAAGCTTCAAACGACTCCAGTTTATTCAGACAAAGAGCAACCTGACACCAGAGTCCATACTACTAATTCATAGCCAGTAATTACCAAGTACTACTAGTTGCTTAATCAGAACACTAACCATAATTTACAGGCATATGGGTAAGCCTCTCCTCCATCACATCATCATCCCTGATCGAGACCCCAGCACTAGAGAAGTTTCAGGGACAGTTTTGGTAGGTGACGAGGAGAGTTGCTTGCAAGAACCCCAATGCAAGTAAAGAGCCAAGAATGATTTGCCTACAGGCAGCCAAAGCTGATGGTGATCGATCAGCAGCAGCTCTGGGCACGCCTGGAGATCCCCGCCTCAAGGCTGTCACGCCTTGAGGAGCTCGCAGCAGCCGTCGCCGGCCGCCGTCGCCCACCTGAAGGGGGCGGCGACGGCGGCGGCGGAGTGTGAGGCGTGGTCGCCGCCGCCGCCGCCGCTGTCCATGATGATCGGGAGCGGGGTGAAGAACGGCGTGCGGAGGTGGTGGTCGATGCTGTTGTAGTGGTCCGCCGCGTCGGCGTCGTCGTGGCGGTGGTGGTCGTACATGACGCCTCCCGGCGACGACACGTCGGAGCCGGAGAGGCTGGACGCGCGGCCGCCGGAGCCTGGACGATGGGCTACGTCGGCGGGGCTGACGAGGGACGCGAGGGGCGTCTTGCTGCTGCCGCCGCATCCGGCGGCGGTGGCTTCTTTCTTGGTGTTGAGGAAGCGGCCGCCGGAGCCTCTGGCCCGGCGCATGGCGTGGCGGTGGCGCGACTCGTGGAGGTAGGGCTGCACCATCAACGAGCAGCAGTATATGCGCTGAGATTTGAGAACAAACTCAACAAAAGGAACATTTACATCATACTCAAATTATATTACTCACTTCGTTCTCGAATACTCCCTCCGGTTACATCATTCTTACGTTTTAGTAAATGACATGTTCTCCAAAGTATATTTTTAACTATGTTTTTATATTATAATATATACAATAAACAAATATATTTTTACTTTTATTATAATACTTTGTAAGATAAATTTATATATATTGTTCTAGTGCCTTTAAACTAAATATTGATAGTAAAAGTTATGAAATTTTGATCTTATTCTTATCTAAAATGTTAAGAATTATGAAACTGGATAAAGTAACTTACCATAAATTTCTTTTACAGCATAATATTGTGATGAATGAAGGTTGTATGACTATATTTTTAACATTACACTCTACATATTTTCAAGAAGAAAAATACAAGCGGTCAAAGCTTCCAGTGTCAATTATTCGAGGGAGTAAATTAAAAGAAAAAAACTTTTGTCTTCACCACCAAATTTCGTTACCATATACTCGTAAAAAGCTGTAATTTTTTTTAGATGGCAAACATACAAAAATCTGTAACTAAAAGTGTATTTGCTAAAACATTTTTCACAAGCCATTTGATCAAGCTATTTTATTCATAAAATTACATTGGCAAATGGGGACTACTAGAAGGAGGCTGGGGTTCTGACCTTCCTGCCTTTGACCAGCCTGTTCTCCCTCTGGGCCTTGGCGCGGGCACGGCGACGGCGGAGGATGCCTTCGTACTGCTTCGCGTTGACATAGATCGGCGCATCGGCTGGCGCGTTCAGCGGCAGTAGCATTCGCCCGCCACTCTGCAAACACCCCCAAATGCAGGATGTCAGAGAAACATCATGTATCACAAAATTTTTCTCAGTATACTTCGTACAATTGTGATTCAGTGGATCAGTCTAATATCGCATTTGAAATGCTATTCCCTCTGTTTTATATTACAATGCATGTTGACCTTTTCTTTTCTAAATCAAACTGCTTTTAAGTCTGACCTCATCTACAATTACAATACCAAGTTAGTTTTTATTAAATCTAACATTGAATATATATTGATACTATGTTTGTCTCGTGTTAAAAATATTGGTATGTTTTTCTTTTATAAATTTGGTTAAACTTAAAAGAATTTTGACTTTAAAACAAAAAAATCTTATTATATGAAACATAGAAAATATTATTTAGTATAGGACAAAGCAACCCATACCATTGATTTCATCGCGTAGGTGGTCATAAGACCATAGCATTGGTCAATACAAGGATAATTGGGAGAGACCTGAAACACATGTTAGTATGTTACCAATTAGCAAGCAAACACACTGATGGTACTATTCAGAAATAAATTTTTAGTAGTACAATCTGAATAATTTCCAACTGAACAGTGAACATGATAGCAGTTTATCTTTCTTTTCCACCTATCTGAAAAGTTTAGAAGAAAGGTTTACCATGGATTGACCAAGACCAAGCTCGAAATGGCCGTTGTATTCTGGCAACGGCGATTGCATTGCAATAGTGGCAGAGTGCTCTCTGTTCTTCTCTCCTGTATCTCCCGGCTCCAAATTACCTGAACCCCATAGTTTCTTAGTATAACAACACCAAGTTGTCCTACCATAGTTCATAAACAAAAACTTCTCTATGAATCCTTATATGCATAACTAGAGTGGAAACATTGGCCAGCTTGGATGAGAAAGATTTGGTAGCTGATTCTTCTTACCATGATTAATTTTCAGTGCTCCATGACAACATCTAACAGGTTTTAGAATGTCACCATTTCTGTCTTTTATTTTTCAAGTTCAATATATATTCTCTCAACCTTCAAAAGGGGCATTCATGCATTGTATTTTTTCCTTTTAGAAGCTTGCCACATTCTAAAAGATGCAGATCAACAACACGCAACAAATCTAGGCAATGTTCTGAATTATCCAACTGAAAGTAATTAAGTGTATATAGTCTCACTTTAGAGCATCAGAGCATTTTATAGGACACCAAACGGCTGATGCTTCCTTATCTCAACTAAATTATTCTAGGACAGGTGATGTAAGCTTTAAATTATAGAAATGCATAATGTTTGGAGAGACGTGAGTGCCACTCATGGAATCTGAAGAGAAGGCTATAATGTCTTGGCCTACTCTATTTTATAAGGTCATATGAGCTAAAAAGCTATTCAAGGTTCAAAACTGGAGAATCGTTGGCTTCTAAACCCGCAAGTATGTGCCGTATGTCCCCTGTCATATATTATTTGCTATATTTTTGTCAAGGACATGTTATTTCCTCATGTGGTATTCTTGGGTAGTGTTTGGTGGAAGATGTCCCCACAATAAGACCTTGTTCTTGTGTTTTTTTTCCAATGGGCGAAACGACGAGGCGAAACAATTGCTCCCCTCAAAAACATAAAAAAATACCGAACAATGCAATGTCTTGTTCTTTTTTTAGATGACAAAAAATTGCAACAGTCATAGAACTAATCAAACAAGATTGCAAAATATTAGATTGACCAATTGTTACAGTGCCATGGCCTTCAAATACATTACATACCTCAATCCTGATTCCCCCATTTTCTTGACTTATTCAAGGGTTGGGAGCTTAGTTGATTCAATTATTTGTTCCTTTTTGATCCTATAGGTTTATAAGCGATTTTTTTTTTTAAAAAAAACAAAGAATGCCCACCACCACCGGCAAGCCTTGCAACAGGAAACATCAAATCAAATGTCAGTGAATGCGCCTACATGTGAAGCATGACAAACAGTGTTGTCCATGTAACTAAAGGGACCACCAAACAGTGTTTGGACCCAAAAACATCTGGGAATCAAAGTTATTACCCTCTTTAGTTCATGCAACATTCATATGCAAATCCATCTAGTTCATGCAAGATTTTCTCACAAATCAATTGCAGAAGAAACCTCAATTCTTTCAAAAATATGTGTAGCAATCAAGCAATAGCAAACTGCTCACTAACCATCACTCCATCAGAGAACTTGCTATTACTCCTTTCTATAAAAAGCTGGAGATTTCTCTTGGTAAAAAAAGGGTAACAATCAATCAGACTGTGAAATGATGCCTTGAAAATTCTTTGAGATTTCAGATTTGCAAGCTAGAGAAAATAGGAGATAATCCAATAATTCCCTTGTGTTTACAGATCCAACCCAGCTATACATGCATGCCAAAATTCTTCATTTCAATTAATCACCTTTTTGATTTACTTATGCAAAGAAGAAAACAAAATTCACATAAACTTATTATTATTATCTGACAAAGATGAAAAAAAAAAGAAGCAAAGAACCTCACCTGAAAACACCGAGAATTTCAGCACCTCAGGAGCCCCTCCTCCTCCTCCTCTCTTGGGCATCGCCGGCACCGCCGTCTTCTCCGGCTCCGGCGCCGCCGGATCCAGCGCGGCGCGGCCTCCGGGCACGACCTGGAACTGGCCGCCGTCGCGCAGCGCCGCCTCCTCCGGCGACGCCTCCCCGTACAGCAGCTGCGACCCCGCCCACCACGGCTGCTGCTGCTGCTGCGGTCCAGCTCCAGCGGCGGCGACATGGCCGAACCCCTCGTGGCTCTGCTTGAAGCTCAGCATCGCCGCCGCCACCGTCGTCGTCGTCTCCCTCGCCGAGGAGAGAGAGAGAGAAAAAGAAAAGCAGGGAGGCTCAAGGACGCAGGCGACAGCGACCCCTCCAATGGCGTCAAGAAGGATCTCAGCTTGAGGAGGAAGATGCTAACCGTCCAACCACCTTAAGACCAAACGATTAAACAAAAGCGGATTAATTTAGAGCCTTGTGATGATGCGCAAGCAGACGGTTAAAAAAATTCGCAGGGATAAAGAAAATTCCCAGGAGCCGAATCAGAAGGGGAGGGAAGAACAAGAACTGAACAGATGGAAGAACATGTATACTCCACTTGGCAGGGTAAACCGATGAAATAATCTCAAAGAAAAAAAAGAGCAACAGATGCTCGCAGAAAGCCAAGAAGAGAGAGAGAGAGAAACACATTTTTAAGCAAAATAAATGCTTGATTAATTGTTCTGAACCAAAAATCAAAGGAACCAAGAAGAAGAAGAAGAGGAAGAAGAAAGGACACACCAAGATCAGCATGAAAAGAAGGGAAGGACGGCGAGATGTATCCATATCCATGTTACATGTATGCTATGTCCTAGAGTAGTATTACTACGGAAGAGGATTTAGTACAAACCAAAGCAAGAACAGGGCAGACAGCTGAGCCGAGCACAGTGGATGATGCACGAGGATGAGGGGAAGCCAACCCCCAGCTAGCCAGCCAGCCAGCCAGCAAGCAAGCAAAGCAAAGCTCTCACTCACATTTCAGCAGCAGGAGGCCATCTAATAATGGCCACGAGAGGACAACAACAGTATCGAACAGCAACGGCAAGAGAGAGAGAGGAGAGAGAAAATCCACTGTAGATAGAGATATATATAGAGAGAGAAATAGAGAGAGATGCAGTGCTGTATATAGATGCAGAGCTCAGCTGCTCACCCCTCTCTCTCTCTAGTTTCTCTCTCTCTCTCTAGATGGCCACCAACCCTTCCTCAACGGCGATGGCCATCCATTTACTTTGCTTCTTTTGTGCAAAGTGGTGGCTGCTGCCACTGCTGCTTTTGGATCACACCCTCTCCTCCTCCTCTCTTCCTACTTCTTGGGGTGTGTGGGCTAACTTGGGTAAGATTCCCAGACGAATCGAGCCGTGTAATTACCAAATTAGTCATGCTGCCGCCGCTGGTAGCTACTATCTTCTTTTATCTTTTTTTACCTATATATAGCTCCTGCCATTGGTGTAGCAGTACACCTCTACTGATCTCATTCTCGTCTCATTTCCTCTCGTGGAAAAGGTGTAAGGGCGAATCAGATGATCAGCTATCCCTCTCTCTGCATTGTCACTGCACGGTAGGATTCACCTTTTCGATCGAAATTTGTCAAAATTCGATATAAATCGTTGTATCGGCGAGGGTCGTTATCCTGCCGTCCATCGGAAAGGTAAACCGGTAAACCCTGTTGCACGGTCATCGGCTGCGACCTTTTTCTCCTTTTCTGTTTTCTTAGTGTTTTGTTAATTTCTTCTTCCTCGGAAAATCCCTAATGGGTTGATCTCGAGCATGGAATTTGTTTTGATAATTTGTGCTTGTCACTATTAATTAAGCAAAAATAAGAACCTCTTGTTCTATCGTACATCGACATAGGCGAGAATTATACCTCCTTTACAACGGAGGAATCTTGCGGGAACTGAAATAACTCCAATTAAATTCCCATGTTTTAAAGGATCAATTAATACATGGGAAAAATGTGTTTACGGGGATAGTGAGATTAAGAGCACCCGCAATGGTAAAGTAAGGTGCTATCTATAAAAGATGTACATCTCAACAATAGACTAGATTAATAGTAAACCACTTCAATGGTATGTCTACATGGGTATCTATAGCTCTCTAATCAATTGCCTCGTTTTTCTCTATAGACTATCTCCAGGTTAGTAGATAGCTTTGCTCTCTCTCTTCATTTAATTTCTTCCAAGTAGAAAAATATGCTTATATGGATCTCTTGTAGAGAACCTATAAATAACTATTGTGGGTGCCCTTAATAGTAGCACAATTAATGGTGAAGAGAATTGTCAACGTTTAGCTCCCTACGAGATGTCTTTGTCATATTTCTTTTGGATGACTCGTCGTCTTACTTTTATATAATTTGCGGATATACGTCTTCTAACTAATTTGATGCTACAATGAGAAATTGTCTTATTGTCCGGTACTCTAGGTACAGTTAGGCATTGAGCATATGAACCTACTTGGGAAAGTAACCCTCTAGAATTGCACGGCATCAAATATATTCTTATTCCAAGATGACAATGAAAAATGCCTTGTGCACTATAGCCGTCTTGTGCATTGGAACAACATAAACATTCGTAGCATTCAGTACTCCCTCCTTCCAAAAACGTGGAAAGTTTTAGAGTTTAAATTTTGTCTCATATATGGCAACCCAAGATATATAAGGAAACATATCTAATACACACAGGCTTCATATGCATGCTGCGTGCATACCAATAAACAAATGCCATAAAAATCTAAAAGAAAAATATATACCTTCAATAGTATTACACCTACGTCTAAAATCTTAACCTCAAATTCTTTATATTTTAGACATAACAAAAAAAAATCTAACAATTTTAAGAATATAAATCTGTTAGAAATTTGTCCTTTTTTCACTTCACGAAGGTTAAATTTGAAAATAAGATTTACGTAGATGTATAACTATTGAAAGTGTATGTACGATTTTTTTTAGAATTTTTTAGTGATATTTATTAGTTGGTGTGCATAGTGTGTACATATGAAGCCTTGTGTGTTTAGGATACGTATTCGATATATAAAAGGTAACTTTTGACGCTAAACTAACCCTACCTTGGCTTTACTATAATTGGACCTACACATTACCCATTCCATTCTAAGAAGGAGAACATATATTTTTACCCCTATTCTTTATACATTGCCATACTCTAAAAATTATTACATTTTAAAACAAAGTGAATCTGTGATTTTTTTTTGTTAGGGATGATGTGCGATCATGAGATCTTTTTTAATTTTGCGTGTATGTGGTTTCTTTCCTTTTTTTTCCTTGTGAAGGAGTATTTATAGTTTGAGTAAATTTTACAAAACTACAGATATTTTGATCTATCTATCGATAAATTACAGATTTAAGACATTGTATCACAAATTTTAGATTTAGCACTAAAGTTATCACAAAACTATAGTTTTAGAGTCAAATATCACAAAACTACACATTTAGTAAAAAAGAAATCGAAAACTACATGTATGGTTAGCACCAATTTAATCACAAAACTATAATATTTATAACTCTAGTGTTAGGGATTTAAACTCTATAATCTATTTTTTGATAACTTCAATACTAAATCTGTAGTCTTATAATACTTAGTTTTAAATTTATAGTTTTATGATAACTTTGTTGTTAAATCTATAGATTTAAACTCTACACAGAACTGCAAATCAATACCTTGTTCTTTGGAAAATTTGGCCATAGCCTTTGTGTTCACTGAAGAAGATGGGCATCACACTAATTTTACAGGGATGAGCTGGTGGGGACTGGGGAGGACTATTACTACACCTTTTTCCACCATAATGGCTTTGTTTCTAAAAGCAATAACTTTTTTTTTCTACACTCCAAGAAGCTGTGGGACAGAAGATCCAACTTCAAGCCATCCGAGCATCCACCAGAGAAACAAAAGACTGTATCTCCTGGAGACTTTTCCAATGGCTCGTTGGTCCTACTACTGAGTTTTGATTCCAACAGCTAATCTTCCGGAGAATCTGTCCATATGCACCCATAATTAAAACCTAACTGCCTGGTCCAAAAATTTAGATTTTGGTAGCGCATGTCCATTCTTTCTTAAGACTATGACAACTAGGACATCGACATACTCTCATTTAGAATGATAATAGATTATTACAACAGATTATCGATTTGATTATAAAAGTAAATTAAATATTTTAAGAAACAAATTTAACAAATAGCTTAAATAAGTGATTTAAATAAATTATAAAATATGTTTTTAAAAATATTTTATAAAATATTTTTTTTAAGAAAACATGTTTTTCAAAGTGTGGAGCAAATAATATGTTTTAATAATGAAGAAAACATACATCATTTCAGCACACAACATTAAGAATGGGAATATTCACCCCATGCACATGCATTTATCTGCCAGTCTATGAACTTGGCAAGTTGGGTTTGATTATTTTTTCGAAATTTAGTGCAATCGCATACACGTACGCATGTACTCCCTATTCGCATTAGCACCTCTGAGAGACAGGGTTATCGACGAATCTTAAAATTGATGAAGTAACCACAAACGCCTCGCTCTCGATGAATGCGTCGCCTTTAAAATTTTTTAAGGGTTCATCTTAGCTTCATTGGTGAGTAGTTGTATGGGAGGGGTGGATGTTACACCACACCTCCTAGATTTGGGTCCTTTTCAACTTAATTTATTTTTCTTAATTTCTAAAGAAAAAATAGTTAGTTCTTGCTTCTTCCTAAGTGTTTATCAACTTTAGATATTTTTTTCTTGATATGTACATGTAATTGTTTTGGAGTTTCAAGGCGCAGGGGGCAATGCTATTTGTTAACATTTGCACCCCCCATTCCAAAACTATAAACATTTCTAAATTGTTTAGTGGAAATTAGGATTAAGAAGAAAAGAATTTGGTGTCCCTCGATAAATGAGGGAAGGTTAGAGATGTGTGAATGCTTGAGGTAGGATGGGAAGAAATTAAAGGGAAAGTGGTTGATTGGATAAGTAGTAGAGGGTGTTTGGTTGCCGACCACAGTTTACCATGTGTAAGGTTAGACGAGTTTAATTAACTTGGTAGCTGGGTGCCATAGTTGTGGCAATATTTTCTTTCAACAAATTAGATTTCACGTATCAATGAGTAAAAAAAAAAGTATGGAAAGATTCCCTTATGCTTGCTAGGTGTGATAATGAAATTGACCGCCTCAGCTTACACAGTGTGATGACTTTTGTTGGTACATGGACACCAAGTGTGGTTGGCAACTAAACATACTCATAGTTTGTGAAACAAATATTTGGATCCAGAAATATTTATATTTTAGAACGGAGGTAATAGATAATATTTATACTATAGCTAGTCTTATTTCTTTGCTATTCCTTAAATGCCATGAATATTTTTGATTTATTGGGTCCAGGTCTACCATGTCAGCCACTTGCTGAGGGAATTAATGGAAAGCTTATTTAGCACCATACCAGAAATTCTTTATGTTTTATTTTACCTTTGACTTGTATTTGTAACAGCTAGATGTTGTCTGTGTTACTCCTAAATAAAGTCAAAATATTCTTTAGTTTGATACCTGGCTTTTTGAACCGTCTTTAAAGCCACTGCATATGATAGGGTTTTATTTTCTAACAATAAACCTCTCAAGAATCTCAAGTCATTAAATAATCCCATATCACCGCTAAAAAGTCTAACCCTTCTCAAATTGATCCAACCACCCTGCTCCCCTATATATGTCCCATCATCCATACTAGTATATATTAATATTGACCTATCACATGATCTTTAGTATTCTAAATACGATGACCACCTAGAATATTGTGTATATAGGCAATTACTAACCGTAATTTCAATGGAGTACTACTATAACTGCCATATTGAAATGATAGAAGAAAAATAGTCTCGAAATTTCAATATAGCAATATTATGATTGTTCACACCTAAATTTGGCATCTAGAATTAAAATAGGGAAAATGCCAAGGTTTGGACATTCTGCCGGTTTTCCTCTAAGAGGGCTGGTCTGACCGTCGTGTGTTGGCCGGCCAGACCGCCGCCAGTGGGCCGGTCAGACCAGCGGTATGTGGCCCGTCTAACCGGCAGAGTCCGAGTCAGACTCCATTTTCGTCGTTTCTCGGGTTTCCTTGCTCGGAAAGGCATGTTTCGTATTTTCATCTGTTTCTAGCCCGAGTTGGACTGGAGGAGGACCTGTAAAGGGTAAGACCAACCCCTATATAAGGGGCAAGGCCGGTTCATTGTAAAGACACAACCAACTATCAACCAATCGAATCGTTCTTTTACTTTTGCTTTAGTTCTAGTTTAGTTTGTCCATCTTTGTTGATTTGCGCTGTAAATCATCCGCCGCCGCTGCGAGAGTGCGACACCTCTTTGTAGGTTTGTCCTGA